CCCTTCTTTCCTAAAGGAAAGAAAACAAAGATCAACAACTTTAAATGCGGGGACACCTTTCTTACACACAAAAAAAAAAATTAAAAAATTAACTTTATCCTGTCTTTTTAACCTTCTCTATGTTGTGTGTCAATCTGGGCACATTTTCAGTAAATTAAACAGGTGTTTTCAGTCCTGTTGCAAGCCTAACCTGTGCCTCACAAAACTGTACAATTTTAACCTTGCCTTAGCTACAAAAAAAGCCCAACTTGTTGCTCAAGTCCCTCTTACACATCTGCATTTCCCAGGCCCTCTGCTTCTCCTTTCCTTAGAGGAGTTAAAAAAAGGCAAAGGAGGAACTGTAATTTATAAAGCTCCATCCAGCCCTCTGGAACAAAACCTGCCCTCTGTGACCTACTAAACATCATTGGGGAAGTCTCCTCTATTCTTGCTGCAACTTCCATTTAGTTCCAAGCTGCTTTTCATCTCACTATTTTGCCAACTCCAACCATTTCAAACACACTTGGGTGCCCCAGTGCAGCACCTGGGTCTTTTAAATTCTCCTCTTTTCCTCAAGGGAAATGTATCCTGTATTTGGGAGGCTGCCTAATTATTGTGTGTGTGTCTTCTGGATGGGGAAGGCAAAGGGAAGCTCATGTAGGCATTGAGCAACAGTGCCCTCTTCCAACACTAACTGATGAATAAGTCTGGGTCTTTTCCTGTAGATCTGTGCCAGTCCTATCTAAACATTCTTTATCTTTGTGTATTAATAACCTGCATATAACTTCCAGCCAAGTTTCATTTGTGCCTGTAACACCAGGCTCAGCCTGGAAAGAGGCAGTTCCTGTGGGGCTCTGTCAGCTTCTCTCTGCACTTCACAGTGTTTTGGGCAGAGCACTGAGGAGGTGCACTCACCTTGATGTTGCTGCTGCACAGTGCAGCTGTCAGCTGAGACTGCAAACATGTTAAAAATTAAATCTGACAAGTTGTTTAGCGGTTTGGGAAGAGCGGGAAGGCTCCGTACATCTGCCAGTCATTCACTGATATTTAGTCATGGAAGTTTTGTGGGAAAGAATGTGTTTGCACAGGTCTGAGACTGAGTGTATTCACTGTTTTTATTGATAACTTGGAAACAACTGCTAAATAAACCCATGGAAACAATATTCTGAGCAGCAGCTCGTGCCAGGTTACGTGCAAGCCCAGCCTGCACACAGTGGGGTGAAGGGCTGTGCTTGCACAGATCCTCCTCCCACTGCCTGGACACTGCCCAGAGCCCCAAACCATGTCCAATCTGGGGACACCTCAGTGCCAAACTGTAGGACAAGGGCTGATGGGACCAGCTGCATAAACAAGGAAAGACAAGGAAAGGGACTTTTCCTCCAACGCTGCTTTGCCAAGACAGCACCTCCAGCATCTTTCTAGTAACGCACAGAGAAGAAATGAAGACTTGGATTCAGTGAAAGGAGGGGGTACAAAAATTTATACTGAGGACAAAATGGTTTAATATGCCCACTTGGAATAGCTAAAGCTTTAACCTTATTAAAAAGAGAAGTGACTTTTATATTTTCTCCTAAGGAGAAAATAGTGGCATTTTAATCACATGAGACATAATTAAAGCCAGTAGCTGAAGCAGAACCAAACAATAACAAAAATACACCCAC